CTGCATATAGACCAATGAAACAGAACAGAGAACCCAGAAATTGACCTAAGCCATTATGCTCAATTAATATTTGACAAAGGAGGCAAGAGCATACAATGGAGAAATACATTTTCTTTTACTGTTTGTGTAAAGGAAAAAACTACTATCAACAAAATGCATATGAGAGTGATTAAGTCTCAGGCTAGTGAAGACTGGAAATCTATATAATAAAAGCCTAAGCAACCGTTAACAGCAGAACAACCAGTCGCTATGATGCGCACTGACCACCAGGGGTCAGACGCTCAATGCAGGAGCTGCCCCCTGGTGGTCAGTGTGCTCCCACAGAGGGAGTGCCACTCAGCCAGAAGCCGGGCTCATGGCTGGCGAGCGCAGCTGCCACAGCGGGAGCCTATCCCAACTCCACGGCAGCACTACTGAGCGACGGCAGTAGGCACAGCGGGCCAGGATGAGCACGAGCAGCGTGGCGCCCAGCCCCGTTTTGAGCTCCTCCCTGGCTGCCTGCCATTTGGCACACTGCTACATCCCCTGAGGGATCCCAGACTGCGAGAGGGATGTCAGACTGCTGACTTAGGCCCGATCCTGGTGCCATTCGCTGTAGAAGGCAGACAGTCTGAACAACTCAGTGACTCAGGGAAGCATAGGGAATTCAGGGTGAGCCTGCCTCCACGCTTCACTCACCAACTCGATAGTGTTTGCAGGACAGACCGTGGTGGCCCAGCCCGTGCCCATTGCAGCAGCTGCTGAAGCTCAAGCAGAAGGCCATGCAGCAGCAGAAGGCCATCCAGCCACAAGCTGGCAGGTGGACATCCCCCAAGGGGTCCCAGACTGCAAGAGAGCGCAGGCCAGGCTGAGGGACCCGCCCTCCCCCAGTGCACAAATTTCATGCACCAAGCCTCTAGTAATGTAATAATTTAGAGAAGAAGGTCCTGAGGCTTTAAGCTAAGGATACTGCAGCTCAGAAAGAACAAATGGAATAATTATCCCTTAATATTTTGAAAGCATTTTTTTCTTTAAACATCCTAATTATATACAGCATATAAACATATGTCAAGGATGATAAGGATTATGATGTATTTAAATTTTTTAAAGTAGATAATCATTTTCTTATTAATCAATAGTGCCACATAAGAACAAGTCTCAAGTTAAGGTTGAAAAAGGATTTTAGGTATACATTACCTTTCTGTGTCAAGTGCCTCCTCATTTTTCATCCATCTAATAGTTGGAAGAGGAAGTCCCGAAGCAACACATGGCAATACTGCACTCTGACCAATGACTCTGACTAGGGAAGAAGGTTGTTTCAAAAATACCAAGTTTGATGTGACCTTGGAACCTTAAAAAAAAAATTTTTTTTTAAAAAAAAGATAATGATTAAGAACGCACTTTACAACTTCAATGATGAAAATGACAAATTCCTATTCAGTCTGTGTGGTTTTATATAGTAAAATATTTTAAGCAAAGTGACACCAGAAAATTCCATTTAGATGAGCAAACATTTCTTAAATAACTTTTATGTGCAAAACACTGTGCCAGGTTCTCTGGGCCTTAAACGTGTATAAGTTATAGCTCCTGTCCTCAATGTACTTACTAGTTAACTGAGGGAGGTGTGACATAAATCCCCTTTACTTTAAAACATAGGAACAAACAAATGCCTCATGACTGCAACAAACAGAGAAAAGACTGAGCAAATTAGCAGCATCCTCCCCACTCCAGTGATATCATAAAAGGTTTCCTTTCCTTCCCCGTGTCAGTGTGTTACTTCTAAAAATCTTTCTGAGTTTCATCTTTAACTTGGTTCACTTAGTCTGTCAACCCTTTGATTTTATAACTGTGCAACTATCAGGTTACTATATATACCATATACACATATTATACACAGATTACTATATATACCATATACACATATACACATATATACATATATATACCATATAAACACACACATATATATATACATACACACATAATTTGTGTGTGTGTGTGTGTGTGTGTGTGTGTGTGTGTGTGTGTGTATATACATATATATATATATACCACTATATGTGTGTTCACTTTATATAGTTGCTCTTATGGACATATGAAAGGCCACATTCTTATGGATAAAAGATACGTTCTCTAAGTTTTGATGGTGTAATATTTCTAACGCTAAGTTGTGAGAAGAAAAAAATTCTTAGGCAAAGAGATGTGACTCCTGTCCCCATAATCTTAGGAAAAAATGTTTTATAGCCATAGTAACAACTATCATATCTGGCTTAAAACTTGTGAACCAAATGATGATGGTTCTGTAGTCATGGTAACAAGTAAAAATTGTCTAACAGATCAGGCACAACTCCCTTCAGTGAACATGCTTTTGAGAGCCAACAAATCAGTGACAGCCTCAGGCTTTAAACGTCAGTCATTCAGCAACAGAATCACTTGACATTAACCTGCTCTCACCTATCTAATCAACCATAAAAGATGCTTCTCTGACTGGCATTGACCCACCCCTGTGCGTTATAACCAACACACCAAAAACAATGTCTTCCCAAAAATTCTATAAGAGATTGGAAGTTGCATTATTCAAGGAGACTGTGCCTCTGAATTAAAAAAAAAAAAAATTGAAGAAAAAACAAATAAATGGAATCATATACTATGCTCAAGGATAACAAAAATTAACATCATTAAAATGTCCATATTACCCAAAGTAATCCACAGGTTCAATGCAATCAATCCCTACCAAAATACCAATGGAGTATTTCACAGAACTAAAACAAATAAAAATATTTATATGGAACCACAAAAGACCCCAAATAGCTACAGCAATCTTGAGAAAAAGCAAAGTTGGAGGAATCATACTACCTGATATCAAATTAAACTACCAGACCATAGTAATCAAAACAGCATGGAACTGGCATAAAAACAGACATATAGACCAATGAACCAGAATATAGAGCCCAGAAATATACCCCTACCATTATGGTCAATCAATCTATGAGAGAGAAGGCAAGAACATTCAATGAGCTAAAGACAGTCTACACAAAAAATGGTGTTGGGAAAACTGGAGAGATATGCACACACAAAAATGAAACTAGACTACCTTCTTATACCATATACAAAAATAAACTCCTAATAGATTAAAGACTTAAATGTAAGACTCAAAATCATAAAACTCCTAGAAAAAGATAACAAACATTTCTCATAGCAGTGTTTTTCTGATATATCTTCTCAGGCAAGAGAAACAAAAGAAAAAATAAACAAATAGGACTACATCAAACTAAAAAAATTTTGCACAGCAGAAGAAACTATCAACAAAACGAAAAGACAACCTACTGAATGGGGGAACATATTCACCAATGATACATCCAGTCAGGGGTTAATATCCAAAATTTATAAAACACTTGTACATCAAAAAAACAAACAATCCAATAAAAAAAAAATGGGCAGAGGACCTGCATAGACGTTTCTCCAAAGAGGATATGCAGATGGCCATTAGACACATGAAAAGATGCTCACTAATCATCAGCAGATAAATGCAAATTACAACCACAATGAGATATCACCTCACACCTGTCAGAATGGCTATAAATCAACAAACAAGTGTTGGTAAGGACGTGGAGGAAAGGGAACCCTTGTGCACTGTTGGTGGGAATGCAGATTGGTGCAGCCACTGTGGAATACAGTATGGAGGGCCCTCAAAAAATTAAAAATGCAACTGCCTATGACCCAGCAATTCCACTTCTGGTTATATCTTTCTATATATATAAAAGCCTAATATGCAAAGTGTCCTCTTGGGAGTTCGACCAACCGGGAGTTCGCTCGCTCGCTATGAGGTATGCTAACTACTAGGGGACAGTGCAGAATGAAGGAAGGCCCGGCCAGCATCCGGGGAACGGAGGCCCTGGCTGGCAGCTGGCAGCCACTAGGGACCCTACCTGTGCATGCATTTTGTGCACTGAGCCTCTAGTCATATATAAAAACTACCCACACAACATAGGGATGGTCCAATTATATTCATAAACTCACATTCAAAATAAGAAATGTGGAAAGAATCAGGCACCTAGCTATGGGTGTAGAAGCTGAAAGGTCATGAAACACTAAGCGGCTAAAGGGACTACAATGAGCTACAGGTGAGAGAAAGTTATGGGTAAGAAGTTGTTACACAGTTGAGTAAAGATAGCACAAAACAGGTATGAGGAAAGCCAATAGGAGCAGAGAGAGTGAGAACCCACAAAGAGAAGGAAAGATGGGAAGAGGAGCTGGTTTTACATTAAAATGAGGGAGTATTATAAAGATCCAAGAACTCTTGCTTACCAGTGTCTTGAGAGCTGCTATAGTAACAGCTACCACTCTGCCCATCTGTTGTATGAACTAGCCTGAGTGAGACTCTAATTCTTACAAGTAAAAAGATTTAACTATAAAAAAAAAATCTATTATAGGAAAGTAACCAAACTCAAAGGAGTGGGGAGACCTGACAAAAGACACAGAGTTAATGGTTCTTCGGTCAAGAAGAATGCAATAGACATTGAATATACTTTACTGCTTGATAAATATTTACTGACTAATGTATTCATTAAAGTATAGATCTTTCTTGTATGTTTTTTTCTTTTTCCCCCTTGTAAGACGCTTTATGCTGACGTTAATATTTCGCAGCACATTTTTAACAGTGTTTATAAAAAAAATTCTAATGAGAACAAATTTTACCCATCAATAAACATAACACCATCAGTCCTGATAGTAAATGAATACCTGGAAGAACTTTTAATTCAGCTTCATCACTGTACTTTGGTGGCCCGCCACTTTCAACTATGCAGCGATAAAGTCCCCCATCTCCTTCAGTTGTGTTGCTGATAACCAGTGTCCCACTTGGAAGTTTGAGGACTCTATCATCCAGAAGAAGAGGCTGCCTGTTCTGTTCCCATCTCACAAATGGGACCAAATCTGCATTAACTTCACAATTCAGAATTGCACTGTCCCCAGCATAAACTGAAGAATGTTCTGGTTGACTGGCAAATCTTGGAAGACCTGAAAATTAAAGAGAAAGAAGAAATAAAATGTAGCTAAACATTACTTTTAAATGAAGTGATGGGAACCAGCAGCAAGTCAATCCATGTGGCCACATGTATGGTGGAACCAGGGTCAAGAAGGAGGTTCATGAATCAGGAAATTGGCTACATACAGAATTACAAATCAAACAAGTAAATGTGCCAGGGATACTTGTCATATTCCTCACAGTCAGAGAAGTACAGTGCAAACATGGAAAAGCAGAAGGGCTGAATGAATCCCATGATATTAGACTAGAATAGAGGTAACAGTGTAAACTTATGGTTTTATATAATTACTAGAGACCTGGTGCACGAAAATTCGTGCACTGAAGGGGGTGTCCCTCAGCCCGACCTGCTACTTCTCACAGTCCTGGAGCCCTCAGAGGATGTCGTACTGACGGCTTAGGCCAGCTCCCCACAGCTGATCAGGGGAAGGCACCTCCCCATCACCCCCTTGCTGCTGCTGCCTCTGGCCTCCCTCTGTGGGAGGCGACCCGGCAATCAGGGGAAGGCGACGCCCCCATCACCCCTCTGCTGCTGCCACTGCCAGCCACACGGCTGCCTGAGCCTCGGCCCTCGCAGCCACCGTGGTTTGCCTAAGCCTCGACCAGGCCCTCGCTGCCTGAGCCTAGGGCCCTGGACAGCAGCAGCCACCATCCACAGCTTGCCTGAGCCTCGGGCTGGCTCTGGGCAGCAGCAGCCGCCATCTGCGGCTTGCCTGAGCCTTATGCTGCCCCTGGGCAGCGGCAGTCGCCATCTGCAGCTTGCCTGAGCATTCGTGCCGGCCTTGGGCAGCGGCAGCCGCCATCGGCGACTTGCCTGAGCCTCAGGCAGCCACTGCGGCTTTGTCCAGAAGGAGGCAGCATCAAGTCCCCACCCACCCACGCGTGCCTCGCCAAGCACGCAGCCCTGGCCACCTGCGCACGCAGCCTCCTGGTGATTGGATGTTACGGCATGATGGCATGATCACCATTAGCATATTAGCTCTCTATTATATAGGATATACAACTATAGAAAGATGTATATATAGATGCAAATGTGTATATATGAAATATGTATGTTTCATATACAATCATCTGTCCAGAGAGTCCAGATCAACGTCACTCCAGTGGCAATGAGTATATATGGTGACTTAATCTTGATTTCTAAATACCATCCTCCATTACAAGGAACCAGTGCTCCTTGGAGAAACAGCTGATTCTAGGCCAGTTATAGGGAAGTACAAGATGAAGCTGGAATGTCTTGTGACAGCAAAGAAGCAAGTACCCAAAGAATAATGTGGATAAATCAAAAGGACACAAAAGTCAGACTGAAGGGAGATTCCTCTGGCTAAATCTGGGATAATAAATTATAAATAGATGCAAAAATTAACAGGTAGAAGTTGGATGAGAAATAGAATATTTATAGGGTATCAAATTATCTCTTCCCCAAATTAATAAAAGTATGAAATATTTTATCAACTTTATAGTGAGAAACATAGCATAGACCACCTTAACTAATAATAAAGATTAACATCACCAGTAATGAAACAAAGCATCACATGCTTCCTAATACAATGCACTAAGAAGAACAGAGGATCACTATTCTATTCCTCCAAAAAATGCAAAATCTGAATCTATTCATAGGGAACAATCAGAAAACCCCAAATAAGACAAGGAAAAAGAATGATCTGAGATTAAAAGTCTAAAGAAACAACTACTAAGTAAAACATGTAATCCAGGTTGAGAAAAAAAGGGGGGGGGCGGGGGGAAGAGGTTAAAAGTTTCTACTTTTGTTTTATTTTTTGCTATTAAGACCACTGAGATAAGCAGTTAAATTTGAACAGTATCTATGGATTAAATGATAGTATTGTATCAAGATTAAATTACCAAAATTGATGGATGGTTTTTTAGGAGAGTGTCCCTTTTCTAGGAAACATACAAGGAATTATTTAGGTAGGATAATATCTGAAATTTACTCTTTATTTTTTTGTAATGAAAGTCCTAATTTATGTTAAAAATATTTTTAGCATACATTTTTATAAATGGTGGACGGGGGGTATACATTTATTTATTTATTTTTAAATTAAATCTTTATTGTTCAGATTATTACAGTTGTTCCTCTTTTTTCCCCCCATAGCTCCCCTCCACCTGGTTACCACCCCACCCTCCGCCCTCACCCCCCCTCACTGTCCTCATCCATAGGTGCACGATTTTTGTCCAGTCTCTTCCCGCATCCCCCACACCCCTTTCCCCCCCAAGAATAGTCAGTCCACTCCCTTTCTATGCCCCTGATTCTATTATAATCACCAGTTTATTCTGTTCATCAGATTATTTATTCACTTGATTTTTAGATTCACTTGTTGATAGATGTGTATTTGTTGTTCATAATTTGTATCTTTACCTTTTTCTTCTTCTTCCTCTTCTTAAAGGATACCTTTCAGCATTTCATATAATACTGGTTTGGTGGTGATGAACTCCTTTAGCTTTTCCTTATCTGTGAAGCTCTTTATCTGACCTTCAATTCTGAATGATAGCTTTGCTGGATAAAGTAATCTTGGTTGTAGGTTCTTGCTATTCATCACTTTGAATATTTCTTGCCACTCCCTTCTGGCCTGCAAAGTTTCTGTTGAGAAATCAGCTGACAGTCGTATGGGTACTCCCTTATAGGTAACTGACTTTTTTTCTCTTGCTGCTTTTAAGATTCTCTCTTTGTCTTTTGCTCTTGGCATTTTAATTATGATGTGTCTTGGTGTGGTCCTCTTTGGATTCCTTTTGTTTGGGGTTCTCTGCGCTTCCTGGACTTGGAAGTCTATTTCTTTCACCAAGTAGGGGAAGTTTTCTGTCATTATTTCTTCAAATAGGTTTTCAATATCTTGCCCTCTCTCTTCTTCTGGCACCCCTATAATTCGGATGTTGGTACGCTTGAAGCTGTCCCAGAGGCTCCTTACACTATCTTAGTATTTTCGGATTCTTTTTTCATTTTGCTTTTCCGGTTGGGTGTTTTTTGCTTCTTCGCATTTCAAATCTTTGACTTGATTCTTGCGCTCCTCTGGTCTGCTATTGGGTGTAATATTCTTTATTTCAGAGCGTGTATGCTTAATTTCTAGTTGTTTCTTTATCATAGCATCGAGGGTCTCATTAGTTTTCGTGAGGCTCTCCAAAAGTTTATTGCAAGCCCTCAAAATTGCGTTTTTTAGCTCTATATCCTCCATTTCTGTCATGTTTTTTTGTCTCCGCATTTTTTATGCTTTCTTGGTGCACCCCCTAGTGGTCTTTGTGCGCAGTCTTGTTCTAGTTGAGCCTTGATTGTTGTAGTTAATACTAGAGGGATTTGACCACCAGGCCGACTGGCTGTGTGAATCAGCTGTGTCTGCCGCGGAAAACTTCTGTCCTCTGGGGAGGTGCTAATCTAGCCTTTGCCTGAGGCGATCCGGCAAATGGCTCTGCGCAGGGCTTGGGCGGGGCGGGCTCAACAGGGCGGGCGGAGGGAGCCGTTATGGTGCCCTCAGTCCTGTTCCCAGAGGCTCTGCTTCTCAGAACCCCAGGAACCGCTGCAAACCTCAGAGGTGTCCTTTATGGATCCGAGGAGCTGAAATCTGGATGGTCCCGCTCTGACCACCGGGAACACTGGCTCCTGGATCTCTAAGGAGGTGCTAATCTAGTCTCTGCCTGAGGCCACCCAGCAGGAGCCAGCTGTGAAGCAATGTAAGTTGCCATGGGGCCTTGGGCCAGCTGCAGTTTGTTAGGTAGTTTTCAGATTGCAAAGGGCTAGGCCTTTCATATGCAAAAGCCTCCCTGCACGGCTTGGGCGGGGCGGGGTCCCAGGGGATCAACAGGGCGGAGCAAGCAGCTATGGCTGCCCTCACAGGCCCCACTTCTCAGTGTCCTGGCAATCGCTGCAAGCACCTCCAAGGGAAAGCTGCCCTTGAGTTCCGACCGATGCCAGACAGTCCAGTTTCTCCCGTATGAGTCTGGGTCCCCAGAGACTCGCCCGGAACTGGAACTCAGAGCTTGAGACTCCCTACTGATTGAAAAAGACAACCGTGTCCTCAGCCGCCAGCCCTCTCCGCGTGCGCCTCCGTACCTCTGTACTTTACTTCCGCACCGCACCTCCTCTGAGTCTCGGTAAGCTTTTCTCTTTCCTTCTAGTTGTAGAATTTCCACTCAGCCAGCCTTCCTGTGGTTCTGGATGATGTCTGTTCCCTCTTTTAGTTTTATTCTTGAAGTGGTTGTGCTAAGCAGCAATCTCCGGTGTTTACCTATGCCGCCATCTTGGTTTTTTCCTGGAATTTACTCTTAATAGTTCAGAAAAACATTCAGAAAAAAAATGTACTTCGGTATGTGCATATTGGGGGTGATGTGATAAGGCAGATGTGGTAAAATGTTAATAATGGTGAAGATTAAAATTGGATTTCTTGTTTCATTCTTGCAATGATTCCGTAGGTTTGAAATTACTTCGAAATCAAATATTAACCAAAAAAAATGCAGTCATAAATACTCTATATAGCTGCGGTCGCCAACCGGTGGTCCGTGGACCACTGGTGGTCTGTGAGGTCCGAAAGGTTGGTGACCGCTGCTATATTGGCCACAGAACAAAGTGGTTGAGAGGATGAGTACCGGAGTCACAATCTGCACTGAATCCCAACTGCACAACCTCATTTGTAACTGTGCGATGTTGGCAAGTTACCTAACCACTAAGCCTCAGTTTCTTCATTAGTAAAATCAGAACAGTAACAGCCCTCATAATGTTATAAAGGTTAAACACTTAACTAATTAAATTCTTAAATAATTCATATAGTGAATACTGCCTAGCACATAAATACTCAATAAATATAGGTACTATTACTAACAATAATATCTAAAAAGTGCTATTATTGAATATGCTCGCAATACAATAAAATGAGTTGATATATATGAAACAAACAATACAATAAATGTTTGTATATATGAACTCTAACCAATATGCTCGGAATACAATATTGTAAATACAATATTGAAT